GAGTTTTTACTGATACTGATACTTTTTCTGCTTCTTCGGCCATCCTGTGTCGTGCCACGGCATACGAAGAAAGACGCAAAACAGAGTTATCAGCTCTCGACCGCAAAAGGCAAATCGACCGCCAACTAACTACAAGGCATAATTTAAATTTCCAAATGAAGTTTTATGCGGCGCTGGTCCAGTCAGTTTCTCTTCAATCAAAACACAATTTACTTGGCGCTGCAACGAAATAAAAAGAATCAAGGAAAATGCCAGCAACAACAACAACAAAAAGCTGCGCACGTTTGGCGGCGAAGGCAAAGGCAACACGGTCGTCGGCAACAGCATCCTTTGAGCCTTTTGCCAAATTACCGCGCATTTAATTTTAACTTTGATGTTGCATGCGGCACACACTTTACAGACAATGTGTTGAACTTTCGTGGAGTGGTTGAAAGCCACACCAACAGCAACAACTACAACTACAACTACAAGCAACCACCAGAACCACTCAAGCCTCAGCGAGCTGGGCTTGACCCTGTGTTGGACACCAGGTAGTTGATTTGCATGCAAATTGTTGTGCGTTTACATTTACGCATAATTAGCATTTTCGGAGCTGAACTGAAAACCTCATTTACTCGTTCGCTCATTCAATGCTCGACCACACCTTGCTGTCCCGAAACCTCGTTGGCCTGTCAACTGCATGCCTCAATAGACAAGAGAGTCAAAAATGATTCTCTGGTATTTGCGACTGGCTGTTGAAAGCGCCGCACGTTTTCAACAACTATTCGTGGTTCTAATCAATGCCCAAATCAGCTACAACAACATCACCATTATCAACAACGATTGTCGTCCATTGTCGTTGTCGTTCCATTGAAAGATCGAGAGGTGCAGCAGCCCGGTCGTCGCATCATAATTATTGTGTCCATACATTTTCGTTGGCACATTGGTCTAAGCCTCAACAAAAAATGAACAAAATAAAATGATTGCTTCCTATGAAATAGTTGTGTCATATGAAAGCTGATATATACGCGTATAACGTTCCTTTGTAAAACTCAAATATAATAGAGCTTTGGCATTTAAATGTAAAGCTTTCATTAAACAGTTAATGGCTTTACTCAGCCAATAATGTTGAAAAGGGTACAAAAATATACACTCGTAGCTCTCAAAATTTATGGATACAATTTGCTAATCACATTTACACACTTTTGTATACTTTTGTTTATCAATAAAGATGATGTTGCTTAAATGTAAATTATGTCAGCTATACGTACTTATGAAAAACTACCGAAACAAACTAGGTTTGGAAGCGAGTTTCTTTTCGAGACTTTTCCGCCACTCCCGAACCAATGTCCGTCAATGGGGGCGTTTTCCAACAAAGCTCAATTGTTGGCCTAACTTTATATGTGTAGGCTAAATTTATTGACATTTTGATTGGTGTTTGCAAGCACCATAGCCACGACAACAAATTTAGCAACAACTACAACAACGAGGCGGCATTAGCGATGCCGTAGACGACACCAAGCCCGCGGCCAAATACATTAGCGGTCGTCAATTTATTTGGCAAATCGCCGACATTGCCGCCATTGCAGGTATTTTGTTCCGCTCCATGCTCCCAAAGTTGACAACACGTTGTTGGCGCCTCTCGAGCGACGGCGCATATAAATTTTATGGAAAATAAAAATCACTTCACAATGTTACAGCCATTCGAGGCGGGGGCAGCTGACGCGCATAAAGACTTTACGTAAATTGAAAAATGATTATAATTTCAATTGTGAACGCCAAACCCAGTATACTCGTATAAATATAAATGAACTAACTTCGTTCTCAATAATAATATTAATAAGTCATTACGATAAACGCGCAAATGATGTCTTGAAGCTGAACATAATTTAGTGATTTGAGACTCTACGTTTCAAATTAAGATATTGCCAAGTTGGTTTTTATTTCGAATGCGAATAAATACGAAAAATAAAAATTGGTAAAGTCTTTTGCACACTCATTATTTCTCAACATAAGCTTTTATTTATATTTATATACGAACTATTACAAAAAGCATCTTCTAAGCTAGAAAATCCTCAGTAGGAGAAATCTAATCAAATTAGAATAATTTGAGGAGATATTATTTACTATCATATATTTATATTATATATTACATTTATGAGTTGAATTGAATAACTGAATTGTTTGTTTATGCATCTCCTTCGCCTTAGGCTTTGTCATGCCTGTACTAGTTCTTTATCATTAGTCTAGTATCGACTCGTTTCTGTAATGGTCGAGCCCAGTCTCGACTCGATAACGTAATTGGATTAAATGCATTCAAGTTTATCGTAACGTTTTACAAAACCCAATAAAGTGTATTTATTTGGGCACGTTGTACATGGCACATGTGGAACGTGGGGAGCTATAGTACTTGGGAGTGCAAGGCGAATAACTAATTTTGCTGGATTCTGCAGCTACAAATACAAGTAATATTTAATTAACGTCCCCGACCAATTGGGGGAATATTATTTGCCTTTCGGCTAGCTGTGCTCCGTCTCACAGCCAAGTGTGGTCAGAGGCGTCAATAGATTTAGCGATATGAAAAGAAAAATTCAACAGAGAAGAAGCTGAGAATTAATTAAAAGCTAATTTTAAAAAGAACAACAAAAAAGGATTCTCAGACCCGGTGGGGGAAGATTTATTAGCCGTTCCTGGTCAGAGACTCTGTAGATGGCTGAAAAGAGAGGCTTTTATTCAAGGAAGAGACAGTTCGGTTGGGAGCAGGTGAAAATAATCATTATAAGTTGAGCATTAAACCGGAAAAGGACTGTGCGATGCATAATCAGTTGTACATCTACTAAGGGAAAGGGAAGATAATTTGTCGTTCTAGAAGGAACTGGGAAAGTAAGACGTAATAGGAAAGGAGAATCGACACTACTGGCAGTCAGCTTGTGGAGAAATACAATTCCAAGGACAGTCATCCGATTGGCCAATGAGGCAGCTTAGCTTAATTGTTAGGTTTTGTAACGGAAAATGGAGCATTCTGAATTCAATCCAGGACAATTATATTTCGCTTGTATTGGTATACTAGTATTGTTAGATGATGTGACTTGAACCGTTCACTCAGATTAACACTCGTAATTATGGTCTGATTCGACTTACACATGCGATTTAAGTATTTTGCTAATAAAGGCCGCAATACTTGAATACTAGATGACCAACGGGTGTGTGAGTTTGTCAGCTATCCATTTAGCAAGCGTCGCAAATGGGGCTTGCGGCTAATTAGTTTCATTGCTCAAAGCCTAATTCTCCTCAATGTGGCCTGTCCGTCGGGGAGTGGACTGTCATTTGAATGCAAACAAAAAATGCGAACAGTATCGCGCCACAGCCACTCAAACGGCAACAGGCAACAGGGAGCGACTCCAGCGACTCCAGCGAATCCAAGAACTGACCGGGGCTCCCTGAGGTGTGAAATTGTCTTGTCATTTGTCGTAAGTAAGCAGCAGAGGGTGAGGCAGCGGGGGAAGTGGGTGAGCAGCTTGATTTGGCCAGCGGCTATACACCGATCCGAGTCAAGTAGGGCCCCTTTGTCATGTTACAGCCAAGACAGCCAGAGGAGCAGCGCAATACTGACTAGTTGGCCTGTCCAGCATCCTGTTGTGAATTCAACATTTTTATGATGATTTAGCTTTTCCCCCGGACCCAGTGCGATGGCGTCCAGCAGTTGGGTGTGTTATATAGCCATAAAGTAGTGTGACATATCCGCAATTTTTCAGGCGCACTCCGGACTTGTGCTCGCGACCAAGTGTCGAACTCGAGGCACCCCCACTGCGTTGACTAAAGGCGCGCAACTGCCTTCAGCAGAAAAAGTGTCAAAACTATTTGTTTAAGCAGCCACAAATTTGTATATACAAGTATACATATATACATAAATTATACATTCGTGCGCCGAAAGTCGGTGAATCCCGAATTAAGGCCTCCCCCATTTAGCGACGACAAATCCTTTCAATGCTCTTCCGCCCGCTCGTCCGACTAGTCCGCTAGTGATTGTTTTTCACGCAGATAAGCAATCGCAAAACAATTGGTCTTTGAATTCGTGTTAATATGTGCCACGAGCTACTAATTGCAGATATATATCGCACAATCACAACATGTGCACTATAAATTCGTATGATGATGACAAATTATTTGTATTTTTTGGGATATTAGATTCAAACTAATCTACCTGTTTTAGCGACTGCGGCTAATATGGCTATCAACGCACCAAACTAAGCGAAACAAAGCGGGATTTACTTGCCGAAATTGAGTTGAAAACTCCAAGAAATACGGGAGTTATGTAAAATCACTAATAGCGGGGGAACTGGGAAAAAATGAACGTTTCCTTTCTCGGGCTGAGTAGAATGTAAATACTGAGTTTGGTTATTCTAGGTCCTGCACTTTCTGAGATCCTTGGGTTCATATAGATAGACACGCTTAGCTGGATATGGCTATAGCCACTCGTCTTGTTGTCCTAATCCAGATCATTAAGTTGTATTTTTAGCTGATGATACTTCGACCTGGACATAATTGATTTTAGCTTATATAGTTTTTTATAAATAAATAAATAAATAATCTATAAAAACAAACAAAATGTTGTGTTAAAAATATTAAAATGTCAAATGCCATAAAGTCGAAAATATAACTCGTATCCATATTGTTATCCATTGGGGCCAGTTCTCAATTGCTTATTTAAGTATACATATACCGTTATTCCTTTTTGGTTACGTTTCTTCATTATTAGTAGTTTAATTTTTGAAAATACAATTTTCTGCATTTTCGTGGTAACGAAGTTTCAAATATCTTGTGTTAATGAAATAAATTGACAATACTAACATATCTTTTTGAATACTCAACATTTTGTCACTCTTTATAAAACCTAGAAGCATATCTCACAAAGTTTTCGTTCCAAGTGGTTCAAAATATGGCTTTGATATTTTGTTTCATGTCCTTTCCACTCTTCGCTTCGCCTAGAAGTTCAAAATTTGAAAGTTTCACAATCAGAATTTCCAAAAATTTAAAATATAAAACGTAATCACCTCGAAGTGCAAATGGAGGAGGTTCTTTCAATTCTGTCACGTCGGGACACTCTCTTGTCCAAAATCGATATCAGAGCCAATAGTCCGCTGAAAAGACTCTTTCAGACAGTACATTTGAAACGCGAGTGCTACATCAACGACCTGTGGGAAATTGTGGGCTATGAGACAATCTCCACTCGAGAGGACCGGCGGGAGGAGCTGCAGCGTTGTGTTAACTGGCTATTGAAGCGGCTGATGGGCCTCGATGTGGTTGCCTTTGGTGAGCCGATGGGTCTGCAATTAATGAATGAGTCCTTCAAGACGATACAAATGCCAAGCATGATCATTGGCGTGATTGCAAAGAATCCTGGCAGACCGACCATTTTGGTGTATGGCAACGTCGATGTGGAGGACGCTTCTATGGAGGAGGGCTGGACAACGGACCCCTTTGTGCTCACAGAGATCGATGAATTCCTGTACGGCCGCGGCGTAGCTCTGGACAAGGGGCCCCTGCTCTGTTGGCTGAATGCCATACAAAGCTATCGCGATGCGGGAATGCGATTGCCTGTGAACTTGGTGTTTCTTATTGAGAGCATGGCTCACAGCAACAGCTTGGGGCTGGAGACGGTGCTCCGTCAGCGCATCGGATTCTTCCGCGAGGTCTCCTGCGTGGCCATTTGCACCCGGCGGTGGATCAGTAACAAGAGGCCGGGCATTATTTATGGCTCCCGCGGTCTTGTCTATTACCATCTAGAGGTGGAGTGCGCTAATCGGGATCTGAGCAGCTGTGAGCATGGCGGCACTCTGTACGAGGCCTTGCCGGATCTCTTCTATTTGCTGAGCACCTTGGTGGATGGAGCCACAACCATACTTGTTGAGGGCCTAACATCGAACTATGAAGTGGATATGAATGTTCTCCAGTGCGCAGATTTCAACTACCGACAATTTGGGCGTAATGTCGATTCCTATTTGCTGCCCCATAAGGATAGCAAGGTTAATGCATTGCACTCGTTATGGGCCATGCCACACCTATCGATACACGGCATCGAAGGTGCCAATGCCTCGCCAGACCTGCGCTTTGTAATCCCCCATAGGGTGGTAGGCAAATTTTCGGTGTCCATGGCTCCCAATCAGAAAGCAGCTTTGGTGACAGAGGCCCTGCAAAAGCATTTGGGCTTGGCCTGGGTAGAACGTGGCTCTCCAAATAAAATGTCCTTGTGCGAGAAGTTCGTGATACCCTCCTGGACGGGCGCCGTCGATACGCCCGAGTACGCTGCCGCTGTTCGCGCCATGCATCAGACATATGACGCCATGCCCAACTATATACGCGATGGAGGCTCTATTCTGGCCCCCACCATATTCCGAGAGGTTCTAAATAAGAACGTAATTGTGCTGCCCATTGCAAGTAATGACAATGGCGGGGGGCCGATCAACGAGCGCCTCAGTGTGGAGAACTATGTTAAGGGCTCTCAAATGCTGTCCGCGTTCATGTGGGAATATGGCGAAGTAGGCGAGGACACCGACAGCGAGATCAAGGTGAATGCCATATGTAAGCCAAAGAGTGCCAAGTAGTGAGCTTGCAGGTGCCACCAACGCCACCACTACTGCTGCCACCACCTTCCATTAATCAATACCAGAGCGGAAATCCTAAAAGCCAAGAGCGCAAACTTCTTTTGTTCTATGCCGTCAACACTAAATACTCACGTCAACCAATAAATACACTTCGTCCACGGCCCAGTCGCAGCAACGCTTGCACAATCTCAGCAGTTGATCTGCCGCCGTGGAGAAGAACCACAGCCCTTGTGGCTGCTAAGGTGGTTCTGGTTCTGGTTGTCGTGGTTGTGGTTGTGGTTGCTGTGCAGCCTTAAAGCGCACGCCCTTTTCGCACAGACTCCGAAGGGCTCTGTGGCCCGGCGAGATCGGTGCACAGCAGAGCAGAGCAGAGCAGGCAGCAGCTTTCGGTCCCTTTAGGTGTCAAAAGCAATAAAACGCCGGCCTGTAATCAACGCGATCCTAAATAGGTGTACAAATTACACCAAAGTCCTTAATTATAGCGAAACCGCCAGCGCGCGAGACTCTTGACCACAAAGCGAAGATGCCCTGCCATTGAACATTGGGATCGAGTGCACAAAAATGTAAATTTGTGGGAGGCAGTTCTGCAATTCTTCTTCGTCAACAGCGTTTCGAAAATAAAAGGGTATGCGAATGTTAAGCGTAGAATGCGTATTCTTGTCAATAAAGTTCCTCTCTAAAGTCAATCCAATTTTTTTAACAAAAGTGATTGTTGCAGTCGAGTTATCCTGAATGAGATATATCCTGTACCCAAGCGAAACTTTCAAAGCAAAAGACAAGAAACCTGTTTGTTATATTACGATTCAGAATCGTTACATACGTGGTTGAATTGCTCTGGTTGGATGGGTAAAGAAAGGGTTTGGTTCCCAACCAACAAGTTATTGATCCGATTACGCGATCTATCTGTCGGGTAGTACAGCAGTTTTTGGTGTGTTTAATTGATATTGCTTTTTAGCGATTAGTGCACCTAAAAGGAAGGAAGAACCCAGGGCATAGCTAGAGGTACACGCCCCAAACCTCTAGGCAATATATGCATGTTTCGTTCAACAAAATACACGATTATAAACATCTGAAACAAATTCAACAAATCCTGAGTTCCATTTAAATAGTGCGCCCTAATAATGAATGTGTGACTTTATATTGCGTACGTCCTTGAGAAACTTATTAAAATTATGTAGGGGGAAAGGAAGGATAAATGAAAATAATAATAACACTCTTTAATTGCCTCGGATTAGAGGAGTCTACATACCAAGTTATGGGTTCGGGCTATGATGCCCATAAAATCTCCTGCCATTCACTTGAGGATATAGAAATTGTCCCGTTCTTACACCTCAACCCAGTGTGCAGTACCTAGGTTGCGGTTGGATCTTCTGCTCTGGACTCTGTGGTGTTTACACTGCATATGAGAGAGCGGGTCTGTTGGCTGATCGATTCGGTAATTCCTTGGCTTTGCTCTTTCTAGTAGGCTCGCAACTATTAAGAATTTGGCACGGTCCCAAGGCGCTGCTGCTGCTGTGGCTATAACTTACACTCAGATCGATCAACGCAATTGGTGTAAATGTACAACAACAACAACAACAAAGGCCATTGCAAGAAAGCTTGGCGCTCCTCGGCATCTGCATCTGCGGCTGCGGCTGCGGCTGCAAGGTTTTCCATGCCGCACGTTCGTGCTGCGAAAATTACATTTGATCGATTTGATCGGCGCTACAAGATCAAAGGAACTTGAATCGCAGGCGATGCCGACTTTTGAGTATAGCACAATTGTTGTTGCCATTGTTGTTATTGTTGTAATTATTGTTGTTGTTTTAAGAGGTTGTGCTTTTGCTTAGCACGCTCAAAGTGTGAAATTTGCATTGCCATGCTGAACCAACACAGTTGAATATAGTTGAACCTTGGCTTATGTCTAGGAAGGGTTTTCTATGCCTTTCTCAAAACAAGGAGCTCAGTTCCGGCATTCACTGCATTACAAATTTCAAATACTTCTCTTTAAGAAATAATCTATTTCGCAAAATGTAAACTAAAAAGTGAAAGGGCAGCGTGGTGTGCAAGTTTTTAAGAGGAATGCTGCAAATTCACACACTTTTGACATGGCTAAATAAAGAATCCGAACAAAAAGTGGCCAAATAGAAAAAACTTACAAGTTATTTGTAAGACAAGATTTTGCTGGAGAAACAGTTTTATTGTATAGAAGACTACTAGTATGAAGAGCATATATCTTTTTAAAACAAGAAAGGAATGCTAAAGTCAAGCAGGCTCAACTCTTAAATACCCTGTACCACTCCACAAAAAAAGAAATTAAATTAATTTAATTAATTAATTAATGTAATTAAATTAATTAAATATAAAATATTCGATACATGCATACATACATTTACATTTACATCAGAATCGTGCCTATGCGTGTTGGTGACCTTGTACATGTATGTGTGTATGAGTGCATTGGCCTGGTTATATGGCTATAACTTTCTTTCTAAGTACCCAATCATAATGAAACTTGGTATACGGATATATAATTACTAACTGGATGTGTCTACCAAATTTTAGTTCAAAAGAATAGTTCCAAGAATTACGGGAGTTATAGAAAATCGGAATAGGGGGGAGTGGGGGGTGCATCGGGAAAAATGAACAAACTCGTCCTTTCTCGGGCTCAGGAGAACCTGTATACCAAGTTTGGTTATTCTAGCTCTTATACTTTCTGAGATCCTTGCATTCATACAGACAGACAGACGGACAGACAGACAGACAGACAGACAGACAGACAGACAGACGGGCATGGCTATATCGACTCGGCTTGTCATGCTGATCAAGAATATATGTACATATATACATTGTGGGGTCTGCCACGCCTCCTTCTGTGTGTTGCATGTACACTCGCACAAAAAGGGTACAAGGTATAACAAGTAGCTTCTCAGTGCCACTTAATGACCGTTGTCAATTCTTTTGGTACATAGTTACAACGGTTCAGCGCTGTGTTGATATTTGGGCGGCTTTATTCAATCATACAGAGGGAATATGAGTTGGCTATCTTCATGAGTGTAGATCAACAGCTTAATAATTTATTTGTTCTAGAGGCAGTTACAACGGACATATTTTGACAATTCCAATGGACACTTGATATTTATCAATCCCTTCAGATTTTTATGAAACATAGGTAAACAAGCCCAATGGAACACAATCATTTGCCAGTTCTTGTCCTACTTAGCTGTACTTACTTAGCCGAAATCTTCAACCAACATCGACTTCCACGCCAACGGTAGGCCAACAACATTTTCAGTTAACAAATTCAACACGCACGAAAACAAAAAGTTGGAGAAGCAACTCTTCAGCACGTCGTCATCTTGGCGACCATAACTTATGCGCAAATTATTTGATTCCAAGCGTAAAAAATGCAGCTACCCAATAATGGCTGACACCGGTCGCCGCTCTATCCCAGACGATCTCAGCTACTTCTGCAGTAGCCGTGAAAGTTGCCGCAGTATCACCATGAAGATGGCCAACATGCATTCGAAGTGGCTGGAGAAAGAGTAACAAATTTGAAGAAAATTGAATGCCACCTACCCATTGACAGCAGCCACCGCAGACTCCACACCAGCCACCACAACACATTCTGGCTGACCACGTAGGCGGCGCACAGATGCCAATGTGTAATTTTTGTAAATTTATTTTATTGCCAATGTGAAAAATACGCAACCCAAAATGTATAGAAGAAATGCCTACACTCAGAGAAAGCTGCCGGAATCAAGTAGACAAGCTCAATAGTCTCCATGGCCTGCCATAAAGTGGGAAGAGCACAAGCTCATGAAACTACTCCTATAAACATACTAAATTAACATTATAGATAGATTATAGATATACTCAATTATAGATATACTCGTACTATGTCAATCGTCAATGTTGAAAATTGAAAGGTACTGTCAGACTATGTACTTAGTTTTACAATCGGTTGATTTACCCTGCAGCACAAATATAATCCGCGTTTATATTATATATATTATATATTATTATATAAATCATTAGGAATGCAATTGCGTCAAAGTATTATGTGAGCTTCAATTTTATTTGTTGATGCTCTCTGATTTGTTAGATTTCGTTTGACAAACGAAAACAGACCCACCATCTGAACTAAATGGTGGAGACGTGCCGACTGAATTCTCGAAAACCACTTTATAGGGTATACCAGCATAGTGTAAATGTATATAACAAATAGAAGGAGACGAGGTTGACCCTATATACATTCTTGATCTGTTTGACAAGATAAGTCGACTTAGAAATGTTCGTCTGACAATCTGTCTATATATTTTCAAGGATCTCAGAAAGTACAAAAGCTAGAATAACCAAAATCTGGTATCGAGATTCTCCTAAGTCCTAGAAAGGACATACTTATGTTTTTTTTTATGATAACCCCCCATTCCCATTCAGTATGTCAAGTTTTATCATGATAGGTCAATTATTAAGAAATGTATAGCTTTAAATGTAATATCTGCCCAAGCTCTGCCGGCAGATATTGTTGTTTTGCTGCTTTCATTCAATTCTGTACTGCATACATATATTCATACAAGTTTTATCACGATTGGTCAAATGTAAATGAAGGTATAGCCACAGGTGTAATCTCTCTTTGGCTCAACTCTGTACTTCACAACCTAGACACGCATAGACACGCATTGAGGTAAATGTATTCTATATAAGCTGTACGGCTCTATGTACGTGTTACGTAGTTTTAATTTAATTATTTTGTAGTTAATAATTTTTATTTTTTTAAATTACCCAAAAAAAATATTGAAAGAAAGATTTGTTCGTTTGTTTTCGTTGTACATCGGTACAGCAAGCGTAGAGTAGAAAGTTGAATCTACTCGAGTCCATCATTTCTTTCTTGTCAATATATTCACTAACTGCCCTGGAAATTGGTAGAATATTTCTTCAAATCAGAAAATACCTTCTCCTTCAGAAAATACCTTAGCATAGGTTGTTTTCGCGCCACAAACAACTTTATTTAGAAAGTTTTCTTCAGACTGTATAATTTTATTGCACACATATATTAAAACCCAACCCCGCAATTCATATTCTGGTTTGCATGTTCACACCGATCCTGCGATTTACTTCTAAATTAAAAGATAATTATACAAGTACATAAGCAAAAGTCTGAAGAATAATTTCTGGATTTCAGGTGGAGTGCATTGAAAGCATATTTTCCAAATTTGGAATTAACTAAAAAAAAACTATTCCTCAATAAGAGAAAATGGTTCTAAAATGCAATGCGTTTTCAATTGTAGTGAGTTTTCTAAAATCTAGGAAATGTTTTTTTCTGAGTGTTTTGAATTGTAGTTACAATTTTCGTATGCCAAATTGGGGGCTTCTTTCTTTAAGTGTACCATAAAAAGCTCCACCAAGTGCCTCAACGCCGCTTTAATTCGCCAAATAATTTGCGAGTGGTGGGAAAATTTCGCTCCGAGCAGAAGCAGCAGCGGCGGCGGCGAAACGATGTTTAATTGAAATTCCCATGCTGTGGGACTCTAATGGCGATTGAGTGTCCGTGCCCCTCAGTCATGGGCGGGCACAGCTGTGTGGAAATAGCGCCAGCAGCAACAGCAACACCAGTATCAGTATCAGTCTCAGCCCCATTTCGACTGGCAACCATTTGGGCCAAATCGCAGCACAACACGCACTTCGCCCATACGCATATGCAGCC